TAACTTCAATATATGACGACTTGCACCCACCCTGTTTCTCTTGTAGACAAAAGGTGCCACCTTCTGGAACACCCTGGGGATCTCTTCTCTTGTGTCATTGTTCACCACCCTCAACAGACAGTTAGGTATAGTACAGTACATCTTAGGCACCACCAGCATTTCTTCTGTCACATAGAATACCTCCCTGGAAAAAAATATAAACAGTACCCATGGAATGACAATCACAAATGGGATACACAACACAATTAGATGTATTATCAGGTTCAAGTCCAACATTCTTTTCCTCCATCAGCCTCAATCAAAGCAAACTTGAACACATTTTTTGTTGAAATTTACATTAAATTCTGACATTATGAAGGGAAAATTTGAATTCACTGACAGGACCTGTAAATAATCACCATACATATGTACAAAGAGTTTTCAATATACATATGAAACAACAGCACATGCACAAGTGAAATATCCAAATTTCAACTGTCTGTTACCTACCTGAACACCACAAACCAAGTGCCAGCAGGCTGGTCAGGGAAGCTGCCCTGGTAGTCAGCATAGGAGATCTTATTCCACTCATCTTTATGGAAGGGGTACTTCTCCATCAGGTCTGGGTCTGCTTTGAACATGGCCCTGGAGTCAGATTGAAACCATGATTTAAACTGAAAGTACTCATGTTTCTGAATAAAAGCCATGATGTGTAAGTGCATCCTGCTTTATTCCTGCCTCAAATAGTAAATACTTTAAAGAAACTTAATACAAATTATACTCATTTGCTAATCACTATTACTGTCAGCATATAATTTTGCTGTCATAAATGCAACACCGTTTTAGGCAGAATATGTCAGACTGAGTGTACAACAGGATAAAGAAAAATAAATCAAATAAGAAAACATATCATTATCATTATGTCTTTGTACCTGAACAAGTTAAGACCATGCTGCTCCATGTTGGGTTCCAAAATGGTCCAAGCCTTCTGTAGCTGTTCCAGAACTTTCTGGTGGTCTTCTGTCCCAGACATCCTGGCATTCCGTATCTTCCTCACGTAACACCCTCGCCAACCTTTCTGGAGCTTTATGGTGGCAACATGCTCCTCTGGGGTAGGCTCTCTGGAATACCATAAATTGATACAATAACCTCAAGAAAGATGATCACAGATTCAAATAATACTCCACATAAATATGAAATCATCTTTCAATTTTCAATGGCTATAGCAGGGGAAATATATTTGAAAATTATCAGTGTCATAAAATTGGCAATTTTTTATCTTTACTTCAGGCATTAGTAAAGCTGCTTTAATCCTGTAGAATAAATTTGCATAACATTTGGGGGGGGGGGGGTGAGTGGGAATGATGTTTATTTAGATTAGTGTTTCTTTAAAATGCTTTTAGAATTCACAATGTGCATTAAAATAAAGATACTCAAATTTGACATCAATAGGGTGAATTTTTTTTGTCTGTCTTTCCTAACAGGTTCTGTTTATCATCACCAAACATGGGAGCACAACAGCAAATGAATTTCCAACACGTTTACAACACAACATCAGAAATATATAAAGTATCTGGGTATAATATCATTTATGCATCAGTGATGGGCAATATATACAGATATTAATCTAAGGCCTCTGAAATATAGGTATATAAAACCATAACATGGACTTAGAAGGTGAATAGATTACAAGAAAATGTATAGTTGAGGGGTAAATAAGGGGAACATTTGGATATTTTGTACATACAATAATAGTACTGCAATGAAAAAACAAACAGAATCTCCAGCACAAACCTTCTCTTTTGCCTTAATGATCCAAGAAGATTTGTCAGATTGTATGAGCTATCAAAAGACATGTTCAGAATGAAGTTTCTGAATATATACATAAATGTATTCTATCAATTATCCTGATTAAGAAAAAAAAAGATTTTATGCTAATAATCAATACTTGTTAACTTCCTTTCCAATATAGCAAATCTATGAAATCATTGCACACCCACCTGTTAAGCCAGTTTTCTGGAGTTTGCTTGTCTACCTCACCTGCAAATGTAAAACATCGTTCCTTATCTCTATAGGCAGATATACAGATACACATTGTCCAATTTTTACCCTTTCCCCAACCAGTTAATATCCCCAAAGCATTAGGCCACTGAAGCCTATCCCAAAGCATGCTCAACTTAAAGCAATTAATTTAAACAATAATCCCAAGCCTCACAACAGAGACATGCTAGGAGAAAGTATTGAACAAAGGAAATTAAAATTAAATCCTAAACCATTTTAAGAATAAATAGTTTACCCAAGCAACATCCAGAAATTACATTTATGCAGTAAAATAAAAATGAACAACCATACTTGTTAACATCATGATCATTTTATACTCAACATTCCCTTTAACCCTTTACCACATATCCCTTCCATAATTTTTTCTTCTTCAGAACAGTTCTATTTCATATTGTAAAGGAATAAGTGGTGAAGGGTTAAAACTGACCTGAGAACAATATTTAGTATTGGTGCCAAACTGCAGAAAACATCATGGCATTGAAGCCAATGTGGCCAAAGAAGTGTGACTTGTCATGCATACAGCAACAAACACAATACAGCAACCATGGCTCAAGACAAGGCTAGTCTTTGAGTTCTTCAGGCAAACTTTTTAATGTGCATTGAATTATGGTTAAAGAATATATAACACCAATAGAGAAGAAGATTGGTTAATGGGATTGTATTCACAAACCATTATGGAAGTCAACAGTGGCAGATAATAAGTCTAGAGTGCTCTTCAAGATGTAGTTGTACTCGGTATACCATATTAAATTCATGAGATAAGGTCCAGGATTTTTTCTGAGTTGAAGAGTTTTCATTTTCAAGGAAGTGCAGATTGTTTCTGTTAGTGAGGAATGTTTCATAGTCAGAAGAAATACCACAGAATTGGCTTTTTAGCCATTTTAGAAAAGTAAGGTATATGTAACACTGAAATCAGACCAGTTCTTTTGCATAAAAAAATTTTCATCTTATTTCTTTTTATAAACAAAAACTAATTATTTTCATAATATAAATGTAATTAATCAAAGATGTCTGATCTGATAACAGTGAACGCAGGGTCAAAAACTCTTCACTGACAGACTGTAGAAATATGCCCAGTACATACCCAGTTCAGCAGTTTCTGCCATTCAAAAGGAAATCACTCAATATTAGTAGGTTTTTGACCATATTATTCACAACTAACAACTGTGTTATATCACACATATGGACAAATGGCACTTGACACCATATTACACACATCAGTGACACAAAAAACAAGCAATGATGCTATGCTGCCTTTCAATCAGCAATATGTGTAAGAGCACCTCCCCCCCCCAACCCCTTGTGCTGTCAGCCATTTGAGGCACACAATGTCAACTATATGCCAACAATTAAGACACCTGTCACACTGCACTGCACAATATCAATTAACTACACTTGCCTAACAATACATACACCAGCACAGCATATTGGCTAATAACTGAACTATATGCCAACTATACCCCTTTCCTCCTCCCCACACACATGTACATCAGCAACACTTGCATATATACTAGTGCATGGCTCTACCATATGTTATGCTGTAGTCTATGGTTTTTTCACAAATGAGTGCACAACACTGTAACGGCAAACTAACAGTGACAACACAGTGCACTAATGCAGTAAGACTTAATGAACCTTTGGCTAATAAAGCAGCTGCTAACGAAGCGTTAAGTGGGTCCCCACCACTTGTCCCAAAGGCACCTGCCGCTGCCTTCATAACTAATAGCAAAAATCAATAAGCGTTTGACTAAAATGTTTACAAAAAACAACTACATTGTGAGTATCGATGGCTATGTAAGCAATTCTAAGTTCTAAAATAAGTAGTCATCATCTGCTGGTATTTACTTGGTGTGTTCTTTTCCACCTGCACCTCTTTTTCTAAAAGCAAACGGGAATTGTCTCTCAACTATTGCACAAATTATTTTTTTAACCACTCTGGGAGTTGTAGCTCAACTATATGACTCTATATGACTAAAAATGAATTTGCACAATGTCATTTAGATCAGAGATAATTCTGTTCCTGGACAATTTGCAAGTGATCACTGAAAAAATCATACTATAGATTCACTATTGTTCTGTCTATCTGAATACATATCGATATACAAATGAAAAATTGGAAAGCTGCAATCATGGTGTCTACTTACGCTTCTTGGACTTCTCCTTGGCAGAGCCCCTGTGGCTGGTTGCACTTGTACCTGTACAGAAACAGTGCTGACATGTAAGGTTACACCAAGTGCATAACTAAAATTGACAGTCTACTTGTCTATTTTTGCTTGAACATAACTAGTTAGGTAAAAAGATGTTCATGTGAAAAAAAGAAACCGATATAAATATAACAATAATTGCTTGTGGTACAGAAATAAATATGTGCTTGGTGTGAAAGAAATGATATTGTTGTAATGGAGTGTCAGCTGTATTAACCCTAAAGTATATCTAACCTGGCCTGCTGCCTGTGGTAAGACCCAGTATATTCTTGGTGGTAGCATCAAAATTGAAGGTCCTCCAAGCAAAAGCCATCTCAGGAGTTAAAAGTTCAGCTGGCAGAGTTTTCCTCAGGATGGAGTACAGAGACTCGTTAAACAACTAAAAGTAAAATTGAAATATATATTTGAATATATATTATTTTTATATCATTCTATATTGGTAGTCATAACATGTTAACAAAAAGTTACACTTAATTTCTCTTAACTGCATACACACAAACAAACACACACACACACAGGTACACACACAATGTAGGTGTTCAATACCACTTGATTCTCAATCAGCATCAATTCACCATCATTTCTCTTAATGCAATGCAAACAGTATCCACAGAGCACAACTTTTTATCCAAACAATAAATACGCAAGTTTTCTCACAGACTCACCTTGAAGTGATTCACTTTGGAGATGGTCTTGACACTCCTGTATGGACAGTGACAGTTACTGAGCTCCTCATAGCTCTGATGAAAGGCCAAGGGATCACTCAGATTGTTAATGCACTTGCCTATTAATTGCATTGTCTGGACAGCATTGTCCACAAACCTGCAACTCTCCTGCAAAGGTCAATTTAGAAGTGGAACAGTTGCTTAAATTGGATAATGGTCATTGTTCTAATTTGTCAACACTTTATGAATGGGAAAATTTTGGACATAGTAGTTAGCTTCAAATAATATGTCAAATCAAAGTTGTTTATAATTCTTTTACAGAACAAGTCTAGATTTCTCAACATACAAATCATCTTCAATTTTAAAAATAAATCACAGCCTAATAGTTTTAAATCTTTTACAGGTCAGGTCCAATACCACAGATAAATTTTAAGTATCTAAAAAATCTGTGGCACATTTTTTTATTCAAGTGACTTCATCCTCTCATTCACGGATTACATCTCATTATTCAAAGAAACAAAGTTGACTATAAAAATGGTCAAGAGGTTCTTACAGCTGTCAGTTTCTCCATGACAGTCTCCTCGTCCCCATACACAAACTGTACAGAAGAACTAAGGTGGATGTGGTAGCCCAGGGGGGCTGTCAACATGAAACGTAACACATGGCGTCTGTAATGTAAAACAAATAGAAAATAAAAGATGTACACATATATACACATCTTGATAAATACTATAGACTCCACATAACTTGGGCTAGAAATTTTTTGTCCGAGTTGTGTGAACATTTCAGTTAGATAATGTTCTTAAGCTTAGGTTCATACCAAAGAAACAATCCATTCCAAAAACATTTGGGACTTACAATAATATGAGTTATAAGACAGCAAGTTTTCAACAGTTTCATCATAGCATTTTGTATATATCATATCATATCATATCATATCATATCATATCATATATCATATCATATCATATTTATCCCCTTACCCTGGAGGCAACGTGAGCACAGCAGCCTTAGTGGCAGTTGTCTTGAGCCTTAGGATTGGCTGCCCAGTGACTAGACTCTTCCAGGAATAGGGCTCAGCCACCAGCAGCCCAGGCTGAGCAGGAGTGGGCTGGGTGGGCTCCTTGTGGGTAGAACCTGCAAGGGACATATCACCCNCAAACTGTACAGAAGAACTAAGGTGGATGTGGTAGCCTAGGGGGGCTGTCAACATGAAACGTAACACATGGCGTCTGTAATGTAAAACAAATAGAAAATAAAAGATGTACACATATATACACATCTTGATAAATACTATAGACTCCACATAACTTGGGCTAGAAATTTTTTGTCCGAGTTGTGTGAACATTTCAGTTAGATAATGTTCTTAAGCTTAGGTTCATACCAAAGAAACAATCCATTCCAAAACATTTGAGACAATATGAGTTATAACACAGCAAGTTTTCAACAGTTTCATCATAGCATTTTGTATATATCATATCATATCATATCATATCATATCATATCATATCATATTTATCCCCTTACCCTGGAGGCAATGTGAGCACAGCAGCCTTAGTGGCAGTTGTCTTGAGCCTCAGGATTGGCTGCCCAGTGACTAGACTCTTCCAGGAGTAGGGCTCAGCCACCAGCAGCCCAGGCTGAGCAGGAGTGGGCTGGGTGGGCTCCTTGTGGGTGGAACCTGCAAGGGACATATCACCTGTTAGTATTAGCAAAACATTTTTACAAGTAGGGGGGGGGGTGTTTCTGAGACTTCCATTTAAACAAACTGTGTATAAGGGTTGCATTTTACATCTTAGACTTGTAAATCAGCTTTCAAAGTATATCTCCAATTAAAGAATTTGCATTAGGGGTTACAGGGTATTCTAGTCAAAAGACTCTAAATATTCTTAAGTAATAAAGAATGATTTCAAGTCACAGAAACAAGTGCTTCTACCTAAGTCTAGTCTAAGACAAATATTTAAGAGGTTAAAACCAGGACAAAAGAGTTCTGACATAAAGGAAACATGTATATAACCTCCAATCACTTACCCGGGTCACTAAAGTCATCTGAGAGTTCAAAATATAAATAAAATGCAAGTTTCAAACAACAAGCACTGCACACAGTATAAACTTATCTTTTGAAAAAAAAATGTTTTTTGAAATCAGCACAACTTGGTGAGATAAGATTGAAATCATCATCTAAAATTCAGTTTAGAAACACAAGGCAAGTTTTGATATCACTGTAAAAAGAATGAGAATGGTATACCACTGCAAAATGTACCGAAAGGTTATCAATAATTTCAAATAATTTCTCAATTTATTATGCAGGCGATCAACTCACCATCTAATACACTGGCACCATCATCTCCTCCTTTATCTCCTTTTCCTCCTTTGACTGAAGTCTTGGATTCTTTGGGTTCCAGTGGAGCATCATGCCAGCGGGACAGTGAGGAGAAGGACACCACTATCTCACTGGGCTTGAGATTGTCAACAACTGAGAGACTGTTAAGGACTTAACCAAACAGCAGTTATATCACTGTTAAACTTACTGTACCTTTATTTCCAAGAGTTAAGAGTCTGTTTAGCCTAAAAATACACTAAGTTTTTCATATTGCAATTTTTTCTGTTTTGATTTGAAAATGAATACAAGATTTGTTGTGGTTAATGAAAACATGTATGCAAAAACTAAGTAGTGTAGATATCTGTTCTATAAAAAGGATACACATATAGTGTGGAGCTCTGTCATCATATACAGGCTGGAAACAATGAAAAACAATGAAGTATAATTCTTAACTCATATAAATATATATCAATCTGCTGCAATCAAGAACATTGATCTTTCAATTCTTTTTGCTCCTGAAATAATCTAAACAAATTGCCAGAGCACCAGAAAACCTTTTTAAACATCCACTGTGCTAAAAATGTGCTTGAATTAGGAACTACTATCTGTTGGCAAAAAAAAAATTATGATTGCACCGGTGTACATGTATTTTAAAACAAAAAATGAACCAAACAAAATGTTCCTTCCCTCAAAACAACACTACTAATAATAACAACTTATAAATTGCAATTGTTTTGGTAAGTTAAAATGAAACAAATACAAAAAGGGTAACAATAGCATGCATCATTTTTCTAAAAGAGAAGTAAAAAGTTAAGTTCATTTCTATAAATTAATTATGATTTAATAAAAGTAATAAACACTAAAAAACTACATAAAGGAAACCTCAGAAGGAAAATCATCAAGAAATCAGTTGTTTTTTAAAGAAACATTTCTTTTTAAAAAGTCAGAACATAGCTATAAAGTATAGCAAACACCATTGGAAGCATAAGCAAAAGTAAACTAAATAGAAGCAGAATACTTCATCAAAGAAATTTGTGATAAAACACAGATTTAAGGTAGAATTCTGCAGCTATGACACCAAGAAAACATTAGCATAGCATTTCACTAAAATAAGAAAGAAATAAGCTATTTGGTAAAGAGATAGGAAATAGACCAGATAACTTTCAGAGACTAAACTTTTGTTTGAAATCCTGTTCAGTTTATGAATCAAAACTAGTGTTTTCACTTTTTTTACAAATAGCATTTTCCCCCCCAAAAAAAATTCCAACTTTTTTTTTAAATCTAAAACAGGTGTTTGTTTTAAAGACAAAACCATGCACCATGCATAGCATGCATTTTGGTACACAGGTCTGCAAAAAAAAAAAATAATAATAATAATAATAATAAATAAAATAAATAAAACAAAATAAATAAAAAGTCTACAAAGAGAGGAGGTTCTACTCACTACTTTAGCAGTTTGATAGGGTTGTGGAGAGAGCCCAGGCTTAGCCCTAGGCCCGGGACTAGCCAGAGATGTAGCAGAAGTATTTACCGTGACGGCGGCGGTGGGGGCAGCTTTAGTGCCACCTTTTGTGCTGCTGGCTGGTGCAACACTCTGAAACACAGGAAAAACCAAACCCGTGCAAAACACTCCAACTGAACACAATGGTGCATAAAGTGATAATATAATGATAAAAAAGAAGCTTCTGGATTGTGTAAAAGTAAATAAATAAATAAATAAATAAATAAATAAATGAATAAATGAATAAAGATGTTTAAATATCTATAAGTGTTATCATAAAAACATAGTTATATGTTGGACACTCCCATATCAAATATGGTTCTGTAAGCTCAAGTCTGAAATCAAATTGTCAGTGGTTAAAATGCTCACACCATCACTGTTATCCAATATGTAAAAATATTATTTTGCCTGAGCTGAAATGAGGCTTTTCAGATTTTGATTTATTTATTTATTTATTTATTTTTCGCTATAAATTTGGCTTTTCCCCGATAGTTGTTAAAATCATGTACTAGATACTGGTTCTTAATATATAAAGAATAGGGACTTTTTTCAGCTCAGTTTCAGTGCCATACATATGTTAACATTGTGTGAGAGGCCAGGCAGTAGCTGGTGTGACTAAAGTGGGTTTATGTCCTACGTGGCACACAGCTAGGACATTTACCGGGGTCCCTTTCTTGTCTTGTTTAGATGGTGTAGCCACTGGAGCCCCTAAGGACTGAACAAAGTGATGACACATGTTAAATGAACATTTAAAAACAACTTTTTAATCCAAATCAGACACTATACACAGTCAGTAAGTGAAGACAGCTTGCTTGAAAAATAGAAATCTGATTTTTTTAGTGAGTTGAACAAAAAGTAGCATTTCTTCTCTGTGTCCTTTTTTCCTTTCAATCAAGACAGATGCTGAGGAAAATATTAATTAATATATCTATTTCACTGAAATAAAATTGTAAACAAAATAAAATGACTGCAGGTTTTAAAGAACATACACACACATCATTCTCTACATGCACATCATTCTGAAAACCTTTCCAGCTTTAAAATTGCGAGTTGAAAAAGGAAACACTGCATAACAAAGTTGAATTATTTAATAAATATTCTTAAAGTTCAAATCTACAAGTTACTTTATCAATTCCCAATACTGTTGGTATAGTGGTTTGTTTCAGAAATAATTTCATTCAAAAATAGTAATTTTTGTTTCATAAATAATTTCATTCAAAAATAGTAATTAAGGACATCAAAATTTGTTAATTAGAGGCACTCTCATTAATCAAATGATGTTACAAAACATAATATAAAAATATTAAATCACTTCATCAACAGAAATAAAGCATATTAGAGAACTGATTTAACATTGCTGAATTTGTTACTTTTGAGATCCTTTGTTTCAAACAACCGTTATTTGTTAGAACATAACTTTTTTAAAACAAAAATCATATATCAAACAAAAAGAAAATGCATCAACTGAAATAAAATTAACATTACCATGGTTATTATCAAAAATCTCATTACACTTTACTGGTCTCAATAAACAGTTAAATGTTACAATTTCCAGAAGTCAGTTAAATAGATAAAACAGCAGTCAGTAGGTTACATATAGACACAACTGTTCAAAACTGTTTTAAATGTTTGAAAAGAATCAATATAAACACATCATCAACTAACAACTATCACACAGTTCCTCAATCTACCAACCTGTGCTGTCAGCCTTTCTAGTTTCTATAAGCCAAAACAATACTAGCTATTATAACTTTTACTTGCTACAGGAAAATTTGCATGCATAATGGCCAGACCATCCCATCTGGGTTTAAAACACTTGTAAATGTAATGTCATTTTAAATATTCATAGCAGTGTAATTATTAAAACTGAAAGTTATAACATCTACAACAAAATACATTATCATTTCTGATGACAAAAATTCAAAAGACCTAATCAAAATTTAAAAGGTGAACTAAAGGGCATCTGCAATGCCTCACTCATGAAGTGCACATCTAGTTTTAAAACTACTAAATCATCTTACTAACATAACTGTCTTTTTTTTAATGCACAAAAAGAAAATGAGCTATTAAGCTTAATCAGTAACCTACTTGCCAACTACAATAAGACTGCACATGTACATACCTTTAAGTCAGAAAACTTGTGGTTACATGCATATGTATTGGGCTTGTGGTAAATGTAAATAGTTCTGAAAAAAAAAAAAAAAAGATTTCTCTCAAATATAAGTTGTTAAACATGTGCTTATATATATGTATATAATCAGTAAATGATTGCTACAAAGTTGTTAATATTTAATTTTGTTAAATCTTTATGTAAAAATACTACTTAAATTTTTTTAAATTCAATTTTAAGGCTTTTATAAACATATTTCAATAAGGTTTAGCATTTAATATTCATCCTAGGCATTCCCCAGCACCCTGGCTTTCATGTTCCTTTATCGATTATTTTTTGTTTACATTTTACATAACTGACATGTCCTCTGACTTACTTGAAGCACTTGACAAAGGTCTCAAAGTCCATCCACAGGTTTGTTGGTTTGGGTGGCTCAGGTGTCTGCTCCGTCGCCTGCTCCTCCTCTCCTTCTGCATGTGGAGCATTGGGATCAAAGACCACAGAAGGTGTCGTATCTGGAAACAGGGCAGAATTTATGACTGACTGTTTACAAACAAACATTATTTATATATAATAACTGAAGTCCATGCATCCTACAAAATTACATTTTATCAAATGTGATCTAATTTTTTTTACCAGACTGATTTTTATCAACATGAGTTAGTATAATGACAGAAATCGTGAGAAGATGCACATTTGATTAAATGTTCTAAATAATTAATAAGGCCAAATTTGACTTTATGTGGGTGCCAGTGCCTGTGTGTGATAAAGGGAATATGGCTGCTCAATTGTCATAATACATCCAATGACTTGCAAAGGAATTATACTTAAAGTCTCTGTAGAGACTTAATGGAATTCTCACCTGCCCCTCTGGGAAGTGATGCTGCACTTTTGGGGTCTTTCTCCATCTTGGAGTCTTTAGATTTGATGGAGTCTGTCCTGTCTCTAACTGTAGAACTCTTCTTCCTCTCCTTTCCAGGGGAACCTAGGCCTTTCTTGGGCTCTGGTTTGGGAGACTAGAAGAGAAGTTAACAATAATGATAATCCTAACACTAATTAATTCTTTACATTTATTTTTGTGTCTGGGCATTTTTTTTTCTTTATTTATAGCAATTTCATGTTATCTACTAGCTTTTTGACTTGTCTTTTTACCGCTTCCCATTGAAATAATGTGAGATAACTCACATGCAATATATACAGTATAATGTACATGCAATCAAAATAAAGATTTTCTGCAGTCAATATGTCCATCAAACTGAGACCCCTCTCAAAAATAAAATCATCAAGTTATAAAAGCAACTTACAGCCTCCTCTTTCTTAGCTGCTGATCCCACGTCTTTCTTTTTCTTCCCACTAGGTGTGCCTGGCTTGGAGCCACTGGGCTTACTGGCTAGGCTGGCTGTCTCTACAGCAGGCTATAACACAGGAGAATAGCATGTGAGTATTGTGATTATATGAAAGAAGTGTCACAACTAAGGACGTACAAAGCTATGGATAATATTGCTCAGGGAGGTGTCTACGGTGTGTACTATGGAAAAAAGCAATAAATATACAGGATACATGTTGCAGAGGAAATATTGGAGGGCACAAAGAATAAGCTGCTCTCAAATAACTTTTCTTAATATGTTTTAACTCATTTTGTACCCGATGTAAATGTGGAATGAGTTTGATTTATGGACTGCTTTTAGCTTTCTATGGTATACCTACGAGCTCTGATTATCTCCAAAATATGCATCAATTCAATGAAAACTAATCAAAGCAAATGAAGATTTCAATATAAAGTCTCCTTGCTCTGTAACAATGCTTCAATTATGGACATAAAATATTATTGTATATAGATATTTGAATTTCAGCATATGTAAACTGACAGACAATGCTCATCCACATTTACATCCAAACATGCACAGCACATTGCATGTGCAGTAAAACCAAACATATCAAGGTAGATGTAACAACATTGAACTTAACTCTACATGTACATTAATACCTTTAAGTAAAATAAAATTCACAACTGCAACTGGGACAACAACATTACAATCAGCCACTGATCATGAGCATGTGTCTTAGTGTTTACAGGGTAACAATTAAAAAAAAAACATATCCAATGAATTATATTTACAACAAAAAACACTTTATGCAAGACACTGCCATACAGACTCATACAAATATACAGGACAGCTGCTTCTTACAACATACATACACTGCACTGAAATTAATATATAAATTTTATGTGAAGTCTAGAAAGAAATATTCAAACATCTTTCATAATGACCACCATAAACCTGTCCATAACATGCATAACTGCACCGAAAGAAAATGACATTCACTACATGCACTGTTCAAGTGGGTAAAAAGTCCTACACTACATGCATCAATTAAATATATGGCTTTTTCCTGCACAACATGCATTACTGTACTGTAGGCAAGCATATAACCCAGCACTTACTACAATTCTCACAGTCCTTGATCGGGACTTCTGTATGTGTGGGGAGGGTGGGAAAAGAAATACTAATGATGTGAAATGGAATACTTAATGCTATCATCTACTAGATATAGGTGAAAAATGCATGCTTCTTTTATATACTTCTATGATATGTAATTGTTAGTATAATGGGTACCAAAGAAACATCAATGTCAAGTGATCTATATATATATATACTTATCTATAAAACTAAAAGTTTCCTTGGGAAAAATTCTACTTGACTGTGAACTATCTGAATGCTCTATTTTTCTACAGATATATATTTATATAGAAAGCAACTTGTAGTATCTTAATAATTATGGTGTAATAAATCATGTGACTAATCGTAACTGATACAAGAATATCAGCACAAACAGTGACTTTAAAAAGTAGCACTGTTTGTAAAAGTTCAAGGATGAAATGGAATTTAGCTTAGTCAAGCAGTTGGTAAACTGACAATGTCAGAAAACTCATGATCTCCTTATAATACTGGAAAAATAATGGCTGTATACATCTGTCTTGACTTAGCTTCTTTCCACTATATAAATATCTGTGAGCATGCCCCATGTAAAACGACAACAGTCTGTTTGTGTACTGTTTTAGATTAGCGAAATATATAGCCAAGATTACAATACCACAGTAAAATATTCTTGTTCTAGCATGGGGCCTCCTCACAGTAAAAATATGTCACAGTTAGGCATGCAGTGGTTATAATATATTGGTTACACATAACCATGTTGAATTTGAAATATATTAGTAACATGTACATGTATAGATGTCACCTGAAGTAAGTCAGTTTCAACCAGTACAGAGAGGTCATAGATACACTGTCTTTGTTGGACAACACATTTTAGGGAGACGAGAACAACATGAACCACTGTACAACTAACTGGACACTGAAGATACATACAGTCACCTCAACGCGGGGAAGGTCCTCAGGTTTGGGGGTCTCCGGAGGGGGCGCTGCTGCAGCCTCCACTGGCTCTGGCTCAGGAATGTTCTCATCTGTTTCTTCGATGGCGTCAACATTGGAGGTGGGAGGCCTAGTGGCACCTCTCTCTAGTGATGACTTAGGTCTATGTCTATAGTAAAAAAATCACTTTTATTCACATAATATATCTAAATACAAATATGTCGCATTCAATAGCATTTTACAACAAACATTTATATATTTATTTATTAATCAACTATTTAACTTATCCACACAAATTATATTTATTCATCAAGTTATTTATTTATCTATTTTATCTATCTATCTTTTCATTTATTTGTTTGTGTATTTAATCAATCTTTCTTCCATTTATTTATTCAAAAAAGTCTGTAAAATCAATTTCTATGTTAGAAAACTTACACATCAGTGGGGATTGGCACAGGGCTGACTTTATAGTTGACAAATGGAGAAGTGATCTCAACACACTGAATAGGTTTGGGAGCCTCAGGCTCAGCTGATGGAAAAAAATACAAAACAGAACATGTCACATACTTTTCTTTATGACTGTGAACTATCATGAGAATTTATTAACACTTTGTAGACACAGTGGTATCTATGAACTTGAATGCTGGTGTTATGTCATACTTAATAAAGTGAACTATGTGTAAAAAGCCAACATCTGAGTTTCAAAATTCCAAAAATTCCAAACAAAACTGAACAGATGTAGCATACCTTTTGGCTCATCCAATGGAGTTGTTTTCTTTTTCTTTGGTCGTATAAGTTTCCATGCAGGTATCTTCTCAGGAGGGGGTGGGGGTTCTAGGGGGCAGGAGCGGGTCTGAGTGATCCACACTGGGTGAGGGAACAGGTGGGACAACCCTGACTGACGGAGACGCTCACTGGCATCAGCCTGTAAGTGAGAGAACATTTTATCATAATCATATTATAACCATAATGAGTATTCATAGCATGGTATGATTTATCCTAAACTTCAGACCTGATACTAGCCAGGGTCTTTATTTTTATACCTATATAGGTGTACAGTTATGTGGAAATTTATAAATGAAAAAGCTGGCCTCTTAGGAAAGATGCAGTTATCTTTTTCACATCTCTTTTCAAATAATTTTGATCCTTTACTCATTCCAGCCATAATGCCTAAAATTGTATTATATTTTTTATAATTCCATCTTTCTCTTTCAAGGTAACTCAAACAGCACATATTTTCTAATAATTTCAATTTTTTACTCTTTCCAAGTGGCTGGAATATTGTATGAAAACTATTCCTCACCATCTCTCTGAGCACAGAGACTTTTGGTGGGTACTTAGGACTGCTCACATAACTGGCAAATACAACAAGTTCCGGAGATTCTGGAATGGGCACCTCATCTGGTTTTTCCTCTGAAGTAATAAAAATTAATTAACACTATACAGAGGATATAATAAAATTGTTTGTTCAAATCAAATTAAATCAAAACAATTAATACAAATCAATATGGATATGAATCTGAGTATCAATCATTATTGTGGATTGAAAACACGGTTGACTTACTTGGCTGAGCTGCCTTGTCTTTGTCCTTTCCTTTCTTGTCATCCTTGGCATCTTTACCCTTCTCTGTGAAAAAATAAACTCTAAATCAACGTATGTTCACAGATTGTGATAAGTCAGAAGTCATCATCTTACAATGACTGATATACATCATCAGCAAACCATCAGCAATTAAGAACAGTGCTCACACAAACAAAAAAATTTATTAATTAAAATAAATTTTGAAAAAATCCCAGCAAAGTTTAAACCTTTGGATACAAATGGTGCTGCAAAATTCCCAGAAAAATCAAGGGATTGGATAACAAACCTTTCCCTTCTTTTGCTTTCTCCTTGCCAGCATCTTTTTCTTTCCCTGCTGCCTTGGGGTCTGCTTTCTCACTCTTTTTGTCTATCTCTGATTTCTCTGTTGCTTTCTCTGGATTTATAGACTCCTAGTAAATAAAAAAATACAATTATTAAAAAGTCAAAAGTAGAAAAAAATGATGTATGCTCATAACCTTTACTTCAAACAAATACAATGCTATGCTTAAACAATGACAATTGAAGCTCTAGCAAAAATCCTCAAAAATATCAATCTTGTTGATAGATAAGCTTGCCTATCTTCACTCTCTTCATGTAGCTTTTTTAAGCATTCTCAACCCAAATCACAGTATTGCTTGAAATTTGCAAGAGGGATAACTTAAATGGAAGAAATCAGATAAACAAGAAGTGGGGTTTTCTTTGTTTAAAAGCTTGGATAAACAAACAAAAAGGGGAAAGAATTATACAATTACAATACAATCTGACAATGGTATGGGAAACATTTTTTTATGAATAATAAATAATATTTAACCGAGTCACAGTGGATTTCACACTTGACAGTCTTGGTTTGCATGCAGACAGCTTGCAATCATGTTCCTTTTTAACAAACATGACAGAGGTTTAGGGAAATTTCAAAGTGAAATACAAAAAATAATAATAGAGGGAGAACAAAAAAACTGACAACTGGTAAATTGATCACTAGAAGCACTATATTGCAGGAACATGCACACAATTGATGTCAAGTCTTACAGTGCCCCAGCTATCAGACTTCCCCTCCAGGTCCTGAAAATGCAACAGCATCAAGGGTGCAACTTTACCATGATTTCATCCACACTGATGTATTGCGGACAAAAAAAAAATTAAAAAACAGTATCTGACGCCAAATATTTTTTAACTGGGTATAATGCCTATGGAGTCTCAAATGCAAAAATCATCTATGTGTATTTCTGGGTTTACCTGGTCCAATTATCAAATTCTGAAAATAAGCTGACACTGATAACTGATTATTACCTGTCCAGCAGTATCAGGTGGAGCTTCCACTTCTGGGATCTTTTCTGGTTCTGGCTCGGGGAGAACCCATTCTGGTAGAACTGCCTTCAACAACTTCCATATCTGATCCACATGGCCATATCTGATGAAATTGGAGACATAAACAACAGTATTAGAATTTCATATAATAATCAACAGGCAATGTAACAGGCACAGAAGCAAATGTGCAATGTATATAAGTAAAAATCAATAGGCTAATTTTTTTTTTTTTTTTTTTTTTTTTTTTTTNCTATTTTTTCTTTTTTTTTTTTTTTGCAATAACAACTTTTCCAAATAAGAAACCCTGACTCAAGCCCACCCTGCTTGTATGTGGATATTTAAAATTTGAAAAATATTAATTTGTGATAGTAGACAGAATGACATGTTACACGTAGTGAAAAAAGAAACTAAGCTATGTGCATGTACATATGTATACAAATGAACAGTACGCCCATGCAGTTAGCCAATCCCTTCTGCGATCAATACCTCTAGTTAATCCCAGACAACTAGGAAAGCCATTATTAGTCTTCAAATATGTACAGTATATATTAATATGTGCCAAAGGAAGATAGTCACGTCACCCGTTTTTCATTAAATTATCCCTAATCTTCTAGTCCAGGAAGTCGAGGTGTGCGGTTTGCAATCATCTTGTGTCTTAATTTCCTTGTTTTGAGCATCTCACCTTATTAACCAGTAATGAGACTTCAGAAAAAAATGCTTTAATAGATATTGGATCCTACTTGTATCACGCACATGCACACACTGCAATCAGTGGTTGCCTTATAATTTTTCCCTAAATAGAATTTTTTTCTCTCCAGGCAGTTAATGTTATAATATTCTGGCTGGAATATCCGACACGAAAACTTCTTTAAGTTATAATTGCAATGACTGCTATTTGTTTTTTCTTTTATGTCTTCAACAGCACTTAGGCTCTCATTTTCAAAACCATGTCAGTCATGCAAAAGTCTAATATGTTTAAATAATTGCAAGTAAAAGCTTAATTTTACCTGACCACATAAAAAAAACAAAAACAATAAAAATCAAACATATCTAAAAACATTTCAATTATTATGAATCATCTCTATTACCCAGGAATGTTTTCTGGATTGTTCAGTTCAAACAGCTGGGAGCTGGCATTAAGAAGAATTTCTTGCTCTGCAGACAGGCCCAGCACAGTCTCCAAACATTTTTTATAATGTTCCACTAAAACCTGCTGATCAGCATACACTAAAGCACTGGCAGCGAAAGGAGAGATAGAGAGAAGACAGCAGAAATACAAATAGAAATAGAAAAAAGAAAATGTGAAGTGAGAGCAGTTAAAAGTGAAGGATTGAAAAAATTGAAGACAAGCAGAAGAACAGATTTTAAAGAATTTTTTTCAGAAGGAATTTAAAAAGCCTCTAAGTACCAATAAAGATTACTTGTGGCTACACTTGAATTCCCTATAAAACTTACTGTAAAGGTATAGTTTCTGGAAGCCAGCCTGTCAGACACTGGATTATACTGGTGTCACCAAATTCAGAGGAAGTGCTGCCGTAACTGGAAAAAAAAGTTATAACTTAGAGTATGAAATTGACTTATGTAAATGTAACAAATGTATAGATGTATCAATATTTTGTGATACCTACATCTTATTAATAATAATATAAAATAGATGGTAGTATGGTCTGTCATTATCATTATCTTGAGCATTAGAATCTTAGATGTATCTTCAGTCGACAAACACCTGCAAAGCTAATGTTAACATTTCAATTGTACTTCACTTAAAATCAAATCCATTGTATTGTATTGTATTGTATTGTATTGTATTGTATTGTATTGTATTGTATTGTATTGTATTGTATTGTATTGTATAGATTATAGAAGATAATAAGAAAATTGTAACAGATATAACACAACTTTACATTATACTAGGCATAATGAATCCAAATGATGTGACAAGACTAAAGACAATAAAACTAAGAGGAATATCAGTTACATTTGACAAAAATGTTATATACATGTACATGATTTCAAAATTGATTTTGATTTGAGAATACTTACTCCAACGATGTCACTTTGATGAGTGCCTTAGTGAGAAGCATGGGCCACAGTTCATATTGAATACTGGTGGCTGGCAGGAGAAGACGGTCATATTCATCAAACGGAAACAAATCATCTACGAAGATCTTACGCCAGCTTCCCTGGAATGAAGTAAAAACAATTTCTCTACTCCGCTAATTTCATCAGACTTCACATCAAAGCTGATTCAACCAAACCAATGCTGAACAAAAAATCAGGACCCATTTCTCATATTTTAAAATCTCCCTATACCAACACAAGTCTTGAATATTGCCATTTATATTTCTACCACATGATAAACCCCAATTTACAGTTATTTCCATAATAATACAATAAGTGCAGCTGCTTGCACTAACATTGAAAGTATCAGTGCTCTAGCTTTCCCTGGCAGCATATGCTAACCAGCACCAGACTGTCTTTCCAGATTATCTACTCCACTAAGTAATTAGCCATGTCATTGGGGTTTTTCTCTTTTGTGACAGAATGAATCATAGAGACACCTAAGCTGATGTATAGGATGAGATGAGACAATAATAATGACAGGTAATCTACAAGACAGGTGAGATTGGTTACCTTGGCAACAGGACATAATGTGATTGCTTTTAATTAATTACTGCGGAGCCTAAAGAAGCTAGGTAATCATAACTGCCTATTTTCCCCTGATGACTATATTGTTTTTCTATGCCCTTTCAGAAATCCTCTTGAAGTCTTCTGAGTATATTTTCAAAGAGTTTTATGATGGTAAAATTATATAAAGTACCGGTATCTATATTTTCCATGTATCGAATTAAAATTTTAAATGTACATATACTTAATATATACTCATTTGCTTCCTACACATAATAGGATATGAACACTTTATAATAAAAAAAAATCATCCTAGACATTTTAGTCTTTCAATGTCTGACAAATAAAAGACTACACTTTTACCTCAAGACACCACAGCAAAAGTAATGAAAAATAACCTCTCAAACACAAACAAAGCAGCTCTCAGCTGAAATATCACATCAATCCATCATCCAAAACAAACAATTCTATTCACTTACCATCCAATACAACTTGACAGCGTACTTCCCGTATGGGTTATGTGCTGGGATATAGGGACCTTTGGTGACTTTGTTAATGGCAAAAATATGCTCCCAGGGTTTCCAGTTGTACGTATACTCTTGGTAGGTTTCATCACTAGGATCTTCGGGTGGAGGGTTCTTCACTGCGTGCATGCGCCACAAAGCTGTCACCTCACTAATGATCCAGCGGATTAACTGAAAACAGAATTTGCGGTGGAAATTTAATACATTCCTCATCACGGCTATGCCTTCTTGGCATCACCTAAGTGATTATGTTTCAAAAATTGACAAAGAGGTGATGAAAAATAGTTCATACTCAGATCATAATTGTATGAACATTTCAATTCCACTTGTAACACCACACTAAATGTGGGTATATGTACTACCATATCAGTCCAACCTTTATCACTTCATACCTGAACCTTAATTGTAGCTCTTTTCAGTGAACCTTTTCAGAGATATTTTCCCAAAATAACCAATGCAAGCTTATTAGCTATATATATACTGCCTTGCACTTGTGAAAAAGGCTTTTGATCCTCTGAACAATTCCAAACCACTGGTTTCAAAGTTATAAAATAAAGCACAGTCTTAGAATAATATAATCAGCAGTTTTCACGTCTTCCTATTCCATACCAAGCACTTACATATATAATAAATTTCCTCTGGCTTAGTCAAAAATACATGCTGCATTGAAACCTAAGATGATGTGACAACCTGTCTCCAACCCATACAAAGTCTAGAAACTGCACGGCCATGACAGCCCAAGAGTCTCAGTCACGCCACCACAGTTATAAACTGGAATCTATTCTTTACCTCTTTCTTCTGTCACACAATGGCAGGCCACTGACAGACTAAAACACCTTCCTAGGTATACTTGTATCAGATTATCTGATGGCACAGTGGACAATAGTCAAATCCTACACGATCTTTCAATACAAAAGGATACATGTATAGCCTTACAACAAGCTGTGTGAGTCCAGTTTTTTCTAATCTGTGTTATTGTATAATAAAAGGAAATGCTTGACATTGAAGGTAGTACCCAACCTCCCTCCCAAACAATGGACCAGCTGCTAATCCACAGGTACATGAATCTCATATGACTGAAGCATGATGTCTGTGTTTTCATTTTTCAATACAAAGTGGCTTGTGTGCTTGAAAGGCATTATTTTCATTTTCTGAACATTCTGAGAAGGGACATAATTGAAAATATGTACAGCATTCATAGGATTAAGTTCTTCTTCCACATATTTTTTTTTATTCTTTTTTTTTCAAAATTCAAAAGTTTCACAGACACCAATTTAAAACACTTTTACTTTCTCACAGCAGCTTCATATTTTACGAAATGAGGTATAACCAATTATTGGGTAAAATGATGAAAAGCATCAGACATTTCCAAATGCTACTCACCTCACTATCATGAAGATGTTCATTGGCAGACAGCAGATCAAATCCATTGAGACCTTTATCAGGATCCACCACCACAGGTTGCTGGAGAGAAAGTCACACATATCATCATCAAGTTTGACAGAGAACCAGACTATGATGTATTGAACACTAATGATACTCTTTTTTTTTTTTTTTTTTTTCATTACAGAAAATTGTCTTCTTGTAAATCTGAACACTTTTTTCAGTTCTATTCCCCAAAGAAATGCCTTCTACACAATTACCTAGATTTCATTTCAACAATTCTTAAATGGGAGTTTGATTCTAACAGTAACCATATTCTTTTATTATTATCATTACTACTTTTATTTTTATGATGAGTTACAAAATATTATATATCTCAGCATGAGTAGCACTACCAAAGCAATAAACAATAGAGATTTTTATAAGATAACACTGCTTACAATACAACAAAGACATTTTTCTTTTAAAATAATATCTGGGGTAGCGCTAGCAATTTTTTTCACTTAGCCAAATCACCACTTTTTTGTCAATTTGTTATGCAAATGGTTATAATTTGACTAAAACAAGTCAAATAAAGCCTTTTTTGTTTAGCCAATTTATGTCACTTTTAGCATTTGGCTAAATTGGAGAGTGTTAGCGCTACCCCAGAATATTCAAATCCCACTTCCATCTACATTTAGCAATGCTATTCAAATGTACTGACAAAGATTAATTTAAGAAATGGACATCTGAACTATGAGTACTCACCTGGTCAAATATGAAGTCTGTGGGCCTTTTCCATGTGTCTACTTTGAGAGACTGTGGAAGCTCTATCTTACCCTCTGGGTCATCAAAGAAATGTTGCACCTGAAAATATAATCCACTCTGATGATCACATGCCACCATTAGATGCATTTCACAATAATCCCTTTATCCATTAAGATATAATGAGTCCCTGAAGACCCCAGAAAGTAGAGAAACCAAATTGAATATTCCACACATAAGCATCAGTTATCTCACCCACTCACCGATAAAACTAAATGCATGCAGGATACCAAAACCAAATTATCTTCAATTTAAGAGCTTTTCTTTTCAAATCTTCATATTCAACTTCCTTCATTTACCTGATTCTCACACAGGTTGAAATCTAGATGTCAGTGTCTCAAATAGCAGTCGGCCCAGACCACAGAAAACTAATTTCCTCTGTAGATCCCTGCATACTGGGATCCATCTACCTCAAACCACTAGCTTATAACAACACTGGCTCCACTGACAATACTCGCAATCACAATACCTGCCATCAATCTCAGGGGCTTTCAGCAAATTACACACAATATAATATCCCCTGGCAACTATGGTGATCTATAACAGATAAACTAAGCAAACTTCCTGGAAAATTAAGCCCCCCCCCCTCCCTTCCAACTCCATTTCTTACCTTAAGAAGTAATAAAGGAAATGCCTGGTTTACAGGTTAAGCAATCACCTGCCTAGGAAACCAGTCATTAAATGATGACAAAGAAGCTGAAGTTGATTGCTTTAAGATACCTTACTCATTACCTTTGTGTTATACAGACAGGTATATTAACAGGGATCCAAATTATGGCAATCACTGTCACCAATTAGCCTAATCAACAAAACAAGTCCAGGGCTGATAGAAATAACAGGCTCTATTAACCTGTGAAATTTATTTTAATGAGAATGTGATTGTATAACTGTTGACCTTTAGAACATAAAGAAATTACACAGCAAGGAGATACACATTGTCTTTATCTTCATATACTTTTGAGTGATCATGCATTCAAATTTGAAGGATATACTAGTATATAATGTTTCTGAAATTATGTTCAACAAACTCTAAAATATCATGCTCTAAATTCTTCTCAACAAAGAATATCAATCTTTCCCCCAAACTGATGTTGTCAAATTAGCAAGAGAACCCCGCAAAGTTTATCATGAAACAAAAGCTAAAAAAGATATAAAACACATTTATCTTTCTGAATGCAACCTAATAAAATCTACACAATCAGCCTCCGACTATACAGTAGTCTACCTGGTTTCATTTGAGTCTTTCCAGTGAAAAACAAAATCAATATTTTCGACTGAGAGCAGACACCAAGGGAGTAAAAGTAGCCAATGAAATGGCAGGTTAATTTCGCCTCCAGTGGCATAACACCTGTCATTCTCCATAATGGGCAATATACTAGCAGCAAGCTAGCCCACTTTACCCAGACTTAATCAATGTATACCATGCAAAATGTTCTAATAATGGAAAAACTTGAAAATTTCACCTTAACTATGTGGTGTACTGCATACATGTAGATAATGCTTCCATCTGCTTAATGACAATAATTTTCATTTAACTGGACAAAATCTAGTCAAAACTGGTTTGGCTTTTTCTGGAACTTCTTGTTATTACTCAAATTACTCAAAATGGAAAAAAAAAACACCAACCAAATGCCTTTAATTGCATTCGGCCATGTTAAAATTTGAGCTACATGTAGATAGTATCCACAGATGCCAAAATTACACATTAAAATGGACTGGCAGTAATTCATAACCCAGACTGTTGAAACAATGGACAGATAGCATCGAGTACAAACCTTCTTGGGCAGTTTACTTGTAGCATTGTGCTGCTGTGTACCATAAATAAGATGTGTCCTAACAGGTCTCATAGCACTGGTTTTATGTCACACACTTAAACTTTTACCCACCCTTGCTATACTGAGTATTTCTCTTCCATTGCACAAGACAAACTGTCCTACATGTACAAGCACTATCACTTTGGATAATATTCCTTTCTTATCTCAACTGTTTACATCCTATCTTACCAGGCAGTCTAGTTATTTGCAGTTTGGTACTCACAGTGTCTCTTCCACATGACTGCTGTTATCCTGAAAACGTGGAACAAGTTTTCCACGATGGGTTGAACCAACTTAACTAATCAGACCAAAAATTCTGACTCACTAACCTAAACCTGCCACTGTCAGCGCCTATTAATTCTCAAAAAGAACCATTCTTTGCAGTTTTAAACACCGTTAAATAGCTTCCAATAAACACTGACTTACTTCAGATAAATAAGGATTCATGGAATGACCATCACAACTTAAAGCACCACGCCCTTTTCTGACTCAGAGAACTTCAGATAAAATTCATGAAGCTGCCCTTAATACACTGAACGCAAGTTTCTTTCTCTCAGCCACTAATATTCTCTGGTCAGACTGAGACAATTATCTCAAAACAACTGGTTTCCAGATTAGAAAAATACAAGCTGTTTGTGAGAAAGTCAATATTTTTGGAGGTTAAAAGAAGAAAGGCTCCAGCTGGGAGGGCAAGCACTGGGCTGCGGTATCATCGGATGTAATTACATTTCTTGCTTATTATTTCATTGTGTTACCACAATGGGGCTGTTGTGCTTTTATCAGCAACAAGTGTCTCCGCCAACACAGAACAAACAACTGCGATATTTACAGAAAATATCATTTCCATATTAAACAAATAGTTTCTGTTAAAAAAATCCACAGCAGAAGGGCACCAAATTTAATTTGATAAAAAAAGAATCACAAATAAATACACATTAACATATATATATATATATATATATATATATATATATATATATATATATATATATATGGTGTATTATTGAAAAGTCAATGAATCATTTGATAATCTTCCCATCATAATAGGAAAAATGACACTGGCAGATGCTCTTTAAAAAAAAAGTCATAAACTGAATGTGAGTCATACGATGTAATCACACCTATGCATTGACAATAGACAAGCTTGGTAAGTAAAAAATATTCACTTTACAGACTTGAACATCTATTGATCCCAAATCTACAGTTCAAACAGAATTAAAACCTCTGTTATAAACACTGCATCAGGCTAGGAATGAACATCCTGTCCATTGGGGAGATAATGGCAGGCAATATCCTCCCAACTTCCAACCGAAGTTTCATATTACAGAAATCTGAATCTTTTATCATGCATGTAAACAAGAATGAGTATCAGTAAACCCATTTTTTAAACTTTTAATTACATGATTACACGTTCATTTCTTTCTGTCACAATTGTGGAACATTTTCTTGCATTACATTTTCATCAGTCTTGATTTTTCTTTGTTAAATACAATGTACTAGAAATTTATAATAATTTTTTTTTTCAGTTCAATTGCATGGTCCAATACATATTTACTCCAATGTTTTTAAATCTCTCATCCCTTTATAGTTGCGTTTATAATCAATTATAAATAAACAGAGTACACTATCTTACCACTGGTGATTTCCCTTTGTCTTTTTCCTTGCCTTTGCCATGAGCTGCCTCCTGTAAACATGTCAAAAGAGAAATCAAAATACAATGAAATATTCAGTTCATGTACTTTTTTTACATATAATGCAGAGTTAAAATGAGAACATTTCATTCAAACACATTTACTGTACACACAGCAGTGTGTTCAGGTAAAAACTAGTTCAAAACCAAACCAAATTACTAGACAAAGTATGTTCCAGCTTTTGTATTTTTAAAAACAGCCATATATTCTACAGCATAGTCCACCCTGATAGTCATATTGAGCATGAGCCCCAAACAAATGTAAAAAGCAAATGACATTTACTTGGAATCAAGTCATGATACAATGTTAGTATGTTCCCGAACAATGTCACATTACAATGATTATAAATCATGTACACATGTACATCTAAGACCCATGAACATGCATAACAAAAGAAAAACCATGTCCCAGTTAGTGATTAAGCTGCAGAGCGCAAGCAGAGAGTGACATTTTAAAAGAAATCCGTCGAGTGACATATGAGTAATAAGACTAATTTTGTAATTTTGGAATTATAGACATCAAATGTGCATGATGAAAATATGAATATTTTTCGTAACACTGCCTGGATAATATATACTTTAAAAGCCTTCTCTTTTTAAAAAAAGTCTGCTTGTTATTTCAAACTGAGAGCATATATCATTATGTTTTGTAAGAAAGTACTAGTAAACAGTTTGTTATGGATTTATACATGTATACTCTTTGTGTCTTATATTTGAACTGATACAATGTTTTTTAATGTCCATTGTGTATTATTATATTACAAATATGCTGCAAGTACAGAAAAGTATACAAAGATTTTCACTTCAAACACATATACAACATATACATGTGCTACATGTACTATGTAACATCAACATTTCAGCACATACGTAACTGGCTTTCTGTTAAAACAATCAGAACAACAACTATATGCTGCCGGCATTAAAAATTATGATGGCATCTAGTGTAGTAGTATACTGTGTTTTCCCATGCAAAATAGGACTGTGAAAAATTGTGACTAAACATTATCTACCCTTTTATTCTATATTAAAAATGTGCTTTATAGAAAATGTGACAGATTATTTTATGACCATGCAAATTTTTGTGAACACAAATCAATCTTTTAAGTGAAACTAAAAAGATTTTTTTCTCTCCAAACTGAATAAATCATACTACCATAAAAACATCTAAATGTTCTTATTTCAGTTTGTTGAATTAGTACTTTGGTTGCTCAGTTCTGTGCATTTTCATTATGGATTTATGGGTGCCCAGTAAAGGATAACCTAGTACAGTTACAACTAAACAATTACAGAATTACCTCTTTTGACTGGAACAATATGGAGGCAGGTATATAAATAAAATAAAGTATTTTTCTTATACTCTTTTATCTTCTAAAATTTCAATAGGATATAATCTTTTTTAATATTCTCTATAATTACCTAGATTTTAAGAGAAAGTAATAATTAAAACACTGCACAACCTGTTGTGTTTCCATGAGAATATCTATACTACATTGAAAATGGTCAGTGTTATATTATTCCTTTAAATTCAAACCCAATTACTGACAAATGTTTAATTTGGTAAGACAACACATTTCAAGCAATTTTATCATTCTACAGTCTTTTTTTTTTTATCAATTCTCTTCCAAACCTAAAATGAAGCAATATGTAAGAAGCAAAGGCTGCAAAGTGCATTGAGCAATCTTTTTCATTCATTCACAAGCAGTTATATCTATTATTTGAACATTATTATTCTACATATCAATATTATATGACAGTAAGTCAAAACGCCAGTGCAACCATATTTCAAATCAAGACTAGCAACATTTTATTTCATAAATAACAAACTCTTCACTTACCCATTTTTCATTATTTATGTCAGCATCACTCCACTCAGGCCAGAGTGGAATTTTCTGGCGGACTTGGCTCCCTGCAGCTATCGATGCAGCCCTAAAAAGAAAAAGCAGATATATAATGCACAATATATAAAAACCACTACCCCAAAATTTTGGGGTACTGGTAAAGATTCATTTGTAAAGTTCTGCATGTCTTAGCTGTTTTTTCACAAGACAAACAGTAATCACTGTTACCTAAGAGCTTTCAAGTTCTTCAGTGATGTAAACAGTGTGACATATTTCTTCCCTATGTCTTGAAATGTTCTCTTCTTCATATCTCAATTTTTGTTATACTGCTGGCACAAAGAACTGCAGATCTGATGATATCTGAGGAATTTGATCATTATTTTTTGCCTCCAGCTTTAAATATGCTCTAGATATCACTCTACACATGTATGCTAAATCTGCAAGTTTAAAAATGGAATGAAAACTCTTTCAATACATTAACTCCACGATTAACGATTAGTTATTAATGATGGTCCGAGTGAAACAGTGAAAAGAAAGCTTTGAAAAATAAGGTCAACTGAGTGTAAGTGATGGTGACCAAGTATAGAAACAGCTCTGGGAGATGAGCAAAACAATACTTGATCATCTTTCATATTATGTGATCACGTTTGACATATTCCACAGTGATATCAACGTTCCATGAGCAAATAGCATTGGAGATTGATTGGTTACATCCGTAGGCTCATTACAACCCACCAGCTTGATTAAACCAATCCAAGGCTTTTAAGTTAAATATCTCATGGGGAAAATTCTCCAAGAAACATAAAGGTACCATCTATGTAAATACTCTTTTACTCATGAGTACAAACATTAACTGTTATTGGCAATTAATATGAGCAAGTAAAACAAACTCAAAAGAGTGATGGTGGGTAAGCACATGAAAATTGTTGAAGATATGATAAAAATCTCTACTTGGCTTAAATTTAGGACATACACACTAGCTATGAAAACTAAATAATAAATTTCACAAGTTTGACAAAATATAGGTTACTGGTAACCTCTGGACCTGCTTTGTTTGGAATTTTTATATTTGCAATCCTGCTACTGTAGGTCTGACCATTGGGATGACTTGCCTATAAAACTGGCTAAAGAACCATTACATGTGGGGTAAATAAGGTCCCAATAGCTTTTCCGGTAATTGAAGACAATGAATTAAATACTACAAATTAAAGCATGAATAAATTTGTAAAATGCAATTCATAAAGTTTAAAATAACTTTTAAACTTTTACATACCAGTAAAATTACAGGTAAAATTACAGACAAATTACTATTACGGGTGGCATGGTAAGATATTAGCACAGATGTAAACAAAAATTAAATCCTTTTATTTAAACCAGCTGTAGTAATATGGTTTTCATCGATTAGGACATTAGGGCACCTTTTCACTATGTTTATAATAAGGTTCACGCAAATTTGTCCGCCATATTGTTTCCAATCAAACAAGTTGCAAGGTCAATAAGTTTGTATAGCCTCACTTACTCAGTTTTGCCTGCAGAGCTCACCCGCCCAGATGATTCCTTCTTTTTTGCTGTTTTCGATGCCATCGTCATAAAATCATTTTAATGGCATTCGAATTTTTTCAGTATTATATTTTAAAATATATTTGGTTGCCACGAGCAGCAGGTCGCCACGCATGCGTACAATGTTTTTGAGCTCTGAGCAGTGAAGATGGCGCCAGGGTACTACACTGTCACAAAGACGTCCCATACCAAAACAAACCAAGGAGTTATAACAGATCTGTTATAACTCCTTGAACAAACGAAGTTTTGTTTTGAGTTTTAAAGAATATGCAAAATTAACCATCTAGCAATAGTTACATGCGGTTATAATAACTTCACAAAAGTTAAGCTATCGTTATCTATCGTAAACGTAGCAAACACTCATTTTGTTTAACACCCTGATGCCACAGTGAAAAGACTGCTGTTAAAACATTATAAACCTAGGATTCAGGGTCCCTAGCGTCAACACATTAGCCAACTTAGGGCACGTCCAGCATATTGGATGGTCGGGGGGGGGGGGTAAAATTATTTTGCTTTATATATTTATTTATTTATTTATTTATTTATTTACTTGTCTGCTTGTTTGATAGCACCTGTGAGCCCAATTAGTAGGCCTATATTGATAAATCATTTAGCGAAGGGATAGGACTGCGAAGGGATAGGATCTGCCACTTTGTTTTTTTTTTAAAAGCAAGGATCCCAAACCTCTGTCAGTACTTAAACATTATTTTTATAGTCCCTCCTACAACAGTTATAACATTAATACCACTTAACCTTTATCTGTTGTATATTTAGACAAGCACTTACATTTTGAATGTCAATCTTACATTCCTTAAAAATCAAATTTTGCCCACCAAAATGTTTCACAAAACATCTTGACACAGTAAGTAGCCAATGCTAGTATACGCTATTTTTAGGATTGTCGTGAAAGAAGTCTCTAGCTTTTTCTGGCAATTCAAACAAGATGCTGTACCAGCCGACTATGGGACATAAATGTGAGTGGTTGGTTTTAAAGTTCTTTAATAGGAAACTCCCCATATTAGGTACCTTAACTAGTGAACGTAGCCGATACCTTACCTAATCAGATTTATCGATTAATGATAACTTTCTGTGCCGCAATGTATCTCTCTTAAATGTCACACTACACTGTCATTGATTCACTTTCACAAGCGATGAAGTAGAATTAAACAGTCGACGTGCATAAAAAAGGAAGAAAGCTAAACGCGAACAAAAATGCCATCATGGCTTTTAGCCGACAGAACCTTCTTACACTAGGCCCCTAAACCGAGTTTAAGTACAAAATGGTAGCTATAGATTAATAAAATATTTTGTTAGTTTCATCTAAAATACTGTGTGCCTGTATAATAACTATTGACCCCTTGTCTTTCGGTCCTTCAGTTTTTTCTAATCACCATGCCAGGCGGGGTTTTTAACCCTTGCTTTAATTACTTATTCAGCTGATTGCAATATATTTCAACTTCCTAATCTAATTTCAATTTTAGCAAAGTTTAAATCCCCAAAGATAACTCTTAACAATTTTCATCATTTACAAAGGAGAAAATTGATAAGAAAAAAATGTGCTGGTGGGGCGGTACGGCAATACGGCACCTGTCCCTGTCCGTCTCTTCCCTGGGCGTGGTGGCTTCATCACGGTTGACATTCCCGCGTTCTGTCCCAGCAAGACTCATCACCGACCCTCTACGGGACGTGGTTTCGGAGTGCGCCGCCGACCGCTGTCTGTGATGCGGCACCTCGACCACACCAGGTGGGAACTCGGGCCTCGTGATCGTTACATGCTGTTCCTCGGGTTCCAACGGGTGCGATGGATATATTCTAACAGTCCTGTAGAATATATCCCCTTCTTTTATCTCGCCTGGTGCCGCCTTGCTGTCCTTGCCTCCGCGCTTCTTGCTAACGGATAGAGACATTGGCTGGGTTGAGCCTCGACGCATTATGAAATGCGTGGAGATGAAAGCCAGCAACGACTTTTTCAACTGTGTTCTTGTATCCGGCTTAGTCTATCCAAGCGATGTGATTGTCAGAGGTTTCCTCACATTACAATAGTTTCCTGGGACCGAGAACAAAGTAGAAATTGTTCAACACGTATTGTAGTATAACAGCACAGATCAATTAAACAATCAAGGGTATTCTAGCCTCTAGGTAATAATCGACAGTGTGCCTAACTTGCTTCGTCGTCGATAACTCGGGTTTCAGTTTCATCGTATGTTCGGACACGCAGAAAATATGCAGCCAGTTTTATGTTCGTGGCGAAATAAATTTGCCGCTTCATGTGCACGCAAATCAACTCCTCGTTACCTGAGTCTCTGGAGAATTGCTCGAAAATTAAAACTGGTCTGTGACTCTTAGCGTTTTATCAGTCATTTGGTATAGGTTCAGGCCGATTGCAGAATTAATCTTGTCCAACACTTGTCCTGAAATCCTCCAGTAGTTTTAATCAAATGTAAACTAAGGTTCCACAGCAAAACAAAATAATAAAATCAGTAAAAATTTCTGGTCAAATTGAAATAATCTTCATTTAAAGAAAGCTTCAAAATCCTCCTATTTCCTCGTCACCGTTCCATAGTTTCTAAACCGTTGTCAACGCCAAGGTCTACTCGTTAAAAGTGTACATATTTCTCCCGACGTGTAAGTCAACATATTTGTAGCGAGTAAACAGTGAAATGTAAATTATTTTATTGTTCGTATTGTTCAACGTGTATCTCATGGCTTACGGGGACAAAAGGGGATTGGGTATGGATTTAGGAATAACTCTCCATGTCACTCTTCTACCTGAGCCATGAAATCAGAACCTGTTGTAAACGGACCGTCCTGGTTCTAGAGCAGGTTCCCCTTAATTGAGTGAATTCATTATCTTGAACATGCATATTTGTCTAACACAACCAAAGTAAAAAAAAGCAGGAAGATCCATTCACAGTTGCCTTTAAATGATCCAAATAGCAGTTCCTTTACATTCGATGTTTGCCATGCTTTTATGCATTGTGTTTTATTTGCATTATATTGCACTTGACTACGTAGCCGAAGATCATACATGCACTCAAGCGCTGCAGTAACATGCCTATGTCTCAACAAGCACAATAATGAATCCTGTTCAATGAAAGAGAAGAATCAGAATGCCTGGAATGCGTCCTCGTGGTGTTGGTTACGATTTGAAGCGCATTCACTTGCATTTTTATAAATCCCTCGGTAAAGATAGATAGCTGTTTGATCCAAAGAAAAAAACTTGCAAATGTTTTTTCTAAATTATAATAAAGTCCAATAAATCTGCTGATATACCCCAAAGTCCCGGTCTTAAGTTATAACATATAAAGAAATAATAATTTCATTGGCAATTTTGTCCGACTATGACAAAGTTGTCAACAAGTAATCAAAAATCGCAAAAGCTCGACACGCATGAGACAAATTATTGACAATAAAATAATGCTAACGAGCAAAGAAACCAACTAGGCCGCTGCTATTAAATCTAAACTTAAACACCGAGAAACAGCAGAATGATGGAAAACCAAACATAGATCAAACGTGAAAACAAAA